AGAGAGATTTCCAGTGAAATCAGGAACATGCATAATCCATATATTCTTTGTACAAAAATATGGTCTTCTGTCTTGCTTTTTTAAGAAAAATATTAAAATATTTGGTACTGCTTTCAAAGCACTTCTAGTAATGACCCTACACCAGACCCCTTTAACTTGTGTTTCTAAAGATATACATCAAAGGCAAATGAAAGTACAGATGCTACATATAGCTGAAATTCAGGTAGAATCTAACTCTGTTGGGTGTGGTTTTCAGCCCGTTTTCAGATCCTCAAATTCAAGCTTCTTATTGATGACTGAATTATCCTAACCCTATTACTACAAATAGTTGTTTTCTCACTGACTTCAGTAGGAAAAAGAGAGAACTCCAGTGTGATTTCACCTTAACTATTTTAGAGGTTCCAATAGGAAAATCTGCTATGTGAAATACGCCAAATATTTCATTTCTAGTCCATTACAGGTAATTTGTCTGGGAATGTGTCATCAGTCCCTAGATGGATCTATTATAGATCTAGTGTATTTTCAACAGTTTTGAGGTTTAGGAACCCTACTTTAAACACTCACTGTATGTGATGACAGCATGTATGCAGAGCACATACTTTCTCCCTCATACACAGCTTTGTCTTTTAACAGCTTTCAGATAAAAAGTAGGCAGAAGACTGAAGTGAAACAGATGCTGACAGTGTGCATGACCAGCTCCCTAAACATCTGATTAAGAATGTCTTCCCATGCATACATTCCCATACAAACCTTTCCTCATCGCCTCTGTAAGTCAGCCTGATGCCTCCTATAAGCAGAGGTAGTTACAATTGTATTTTCTATCAGCATCCGTTTGCTTGTGAGAACTCCTGAGCAAAGAAAACACAATTGTAGGGCCAGAGAGTTACAAGGTGGCTCAGATTTGACTACCTGCTGTATTTTGCTCTGTTTTCCTTGCTAATGCTACGATTTGCATCTCGGCATCCAAGTACATGCGCATTAGAGGGAGAAAAAAAGCCATCCTTTTCCTAATTAACCAGTAGTCCTACAAACCTTCACAGGATGGTATTATTTTAGTACTTTAGAGGAACACAGATTAATCAGTAGCCAAGAATAGAAGAGCCCAGCCCATGCAAAACTAGAAGTCAATCACTGGGCAATGCTTTTTGTATCACCTGATACTTCAAAACATTTGATGACAGGATATCTCAGAGATGCCTGTGAACTTTGAGAGAGATTATTAAGGAATTATGCTCGGAGGCAGCACTGTGTCCATACTGGAGTCTCCTCATGCTGCAAGGAATTCAGACTGTCCTAAGAAATCCTTATTTATGGGAATTTGGTATTCTGGAAACCTGTACAAGTCAACAATGACAAGTTCTGACAGCTCAAGCCTATGATAAGCATTTCCCCTTGTGAAGTGAGAATCATCTCGCATGTCTGCCAACAGTCCATTATCTAATTAATTACTGTCAATGTTGAGTCACACTAAGCAAGAACTGGTAACGCTCCTAAGGACAATCAGTTAAAAGGAATCCAACCATGTCAGCAGCATCACTGCATCTCCTTTATTCTTCAGATGACTAATTATTAACATCTGTCATTCTCTTCTTCAGTAATGCTGGGTAAGGCCCACAAGGTTCAGTTAAATTCCTGAAACCCCCCATCAGCCATCCTAGGTAGATCATTTAAATTGCATCTCAATATCCTACAGGCATGGTGGTATTATTATATCCTCTCTTTTGAAGTTTACAAACACAGATTCATTATTCTTTGTGAAAGAAGAGGAAGAAGCCTTTCAAAATCTCAGTTAGAAACTCCAAATACGCAACTACCCTAAAGCTTGTCTCAGAAATTTTTGATGACTTTTGACCTCCTTCCTTTCCTATGAAAAAAATATTTTCTCATCTATGTATGATTTTACTGAAGACGAAGGTTTAAAGGGGTTCTGCCCCTGCATAAGCCTCTGTTCAACAAGTTCTTCACAAAAAACCTCCGTTGTAATTTATAACTATTACTTGTCTTAGAAAAATAATCTTACTGTAATTGCAAATATATGCTAACTTCAGTCAAAATTAAACAAGAAAACTAAAATTGTTCCTTTTATTCCTGTTAGAGGTGTCGTCAGTAAAAGACAAACTCCTTTTTCCTATAATAGCAAATGTGCCCAAAGTCTGTTAGCAATTTTGCATGCTGACTCACAACCACCATTGTACATGGTTTTAGTTGCATGTATCTTTTAACTGCAGTTACAACCAAAGACAGAAAGCTTGCCAAAATCAAAAGCTGTCTTCAGACTAACTTTGACTAACACCAGCCAGCCACCACTGCAGCTGTGCTCACTCACAGCAAAGTTTCATCAATCGTAGTATCATCAACTGCCCACCTAAACTCTGAAGAGAGCATTAGCTGTGTGACATGAAAATGTTAACTTCAGAGGACTTTCCTTAATGTTTTGTGTTTTGTTGCTACACATTGCCCATCTGTGTGGCATTGCTCTTTCCCAGCACTGACAGCTTGTATCACCACTTTGGGAAGAGAGCCTTTCCCCTTATTTTCTCATTATACAGCTCCTGCCAGTTCCATGACACATTTTCCTATTGTTTCAGGATTTCCTCTCACCTTTGGGCAAAGGGCTAGGCCATTACCTAATTTTTCCAAGTGGAAGAACATTTCCCATACGTATGTCACTTTCAAAAGCCAGGTTCACTGTTGATGACACTCATGGTTTCCCCTTCAGAGAGACCCTTTCTGAAGCTAACTCCAGATTACTTATTAACTCCCTTCTACCACCTGGCCCGGTCATCTGCAGCATGTGTGGGGGATATTCCTTGTTCACTCTGTCTTTATTGACGTCAACTAGCAGGACAACAGGCGATGTCACACTAAGTCAGATGTCACTGCTGTCCTGTTGTGAGGACTTCTCTGTCAATGCAACATGACCTTCAGACCAATTTCCAGTCAATTCTAAACACACTAGACAACTTCCATTTCTGCCACTAAGCACCTCTTGCCCTTCTACAAATTCTAAACTTCGAAACTTATTGTTTTTCGTTAGTTGCAGTTAAGTGAAAGAACCAGTATATTTAGTCACAAAACTAGCGGTTTAGCTTATAAACAACACATTTATAGCGTGGGTGGAGAAAAGAGATGGGTTGTTTGGGTCATCATGACTGCAAACAACTATGTAATAACACCAGAAGGAAACAGAATACCACCCAAAGACTGGGTAAACTTTAGACTTTGTCTCAGTGAAAAGCTATAAAAGTCACGATGCATCATGGGAACAGAGAAGACCAGTACAACGTTTTTCAATCGTTTAGTGCTAGTGGTTATCACAAAACACTTAGCAAAAATGTGCCTATGCAAAAGACCTACATGTGACAGAAAAATTAAAATTAACTTAGGGAATCAAATTCTTCAATAGCAGAAGGGCAGCATGGAAAGGGAACAACAACAAAACCCACAAACACAAAAATGAAGAAGAAACCAAGCCGATTACTAGTCCTCAGAGATCATTACAAAAGCATGTTTTAGATATCAAGATACAAACTTAGACATAGTTTAGAAAAGGTAAAAGGTTTTTTTTGTACCATACAAAAGTGAAAGACAAATCCAAATAAATAAAAAATAATGAAAGAAAAAACTTATTGCTAAGGCCTTAGTCACAGTGACAAGCACCTACACAATCAAGAAAAAACAGTAAGAGCTCACTGTTCCATGGCTGATTACAAGAATTTTGCTGTTCCCTGTCATTGTCAATACTAAATAATAAAGTTACTCTTTAAATCGTAACAGTTTCTAGGCTATTAACTGCTGAGTGTCTTAGTACCCCACAACTTGGCAACTAGATTTTTTTTTAAATTAAGGTCAACTACAGCAGCCACAGGGTGGCTATCTCTACTCAAAGGATAAAGTTTCAGTATCTCCACCATGGAGAGAGGTGTGGAATAATCCCAGAGCTGAAGTCCCTCACAGTTCATTTGAAGAAGGTAGCTCTGGAGTTAAATTTTTCTGTCCCCTCTACTGCAAATCTGGCAGAACCCCAAAGCAGATGTGTAGCTGTTACGTGGTTAGTAATGGCACAGTAAATTGTCATAGGTTAAACCATTTTATTACTAGGAAGTACTTCTTCAGCTTTATTTACAGAGGCAGCAGACAATACATTAGAAATAAAACCATCCTGAATCCTGTAAAAGTTACTGAAAACTCAGTTAAATCCTAGAGCTTATTCTACATTGAAATAACCCCTAGAAAGAACTGAAAATCGGGAAGACACTGACTACATAAGCATCACTACACAAGTGTTTTCATATCCAAGCAAACTACATTATATCTGCAGTCAAATGAAATGAAAGCATGAGACCTGTTATGAGAAATTCTAAAAAGTCTTCATTCTTTTTTTCCTTTTCAAAACATTGGTAGTAACAAGGTTACAAATTTGTAATGCATACTTATATATGGTAAATAAGCATTAACTGCTCATGAACTCTACGGGTGATGGCATTTAGGCTCTCTTTTTTTCCCCAGAGAAGAAACAACAGGCATAAGGGTAATGACCACTTTGTATTTTGACCCTATTTGGAAACTCACTGACAGAAGTCACAAGTTTTTCTTTCAGCAAACTACTACAGCTGGTTTAGCTCTTCCTTTTTATGACAAGACTCTGTATTTATTCTAGACTTTAATGTAGCTTTCCAAGTGGCAATACAACAGTCGTGCAATACTGAATTTGGAACAATTACACAAAGAGGTTTTATTCCAGAGAAACAGGAAGTTGTTACATGTATGCGAGAAATAAATATGCTTAAAGACTCAATTTCTGAATCTTCTCACAAGAAATTATGCTCTTAATATGAAACAATATTTACTTATACAAAAGCCCCAACAAGTGTCATAATACACGTTGCCAACATCTATACGCAAGCACCTTAGATGTCAAATCAGGTTTTCAGAGCATTAAGGCAAGCACTGGTTTGCGACTTTTGATTGCATGTAGTCTCTCCTATAAACTCAACTGTTTAGATTGCCGTCCTTTCAAAACTCATACTTTTAAAATGTTCTTCAAGCACATCAGAATCTTCATCGTTGTCTGTACTGCCAAAGTTTGTATCAAAATCCAGCTCGTCCTCCAAAGCACTGGTCTCTTGGCCATTTTTAACAGTCACACTCTCAGTTCTGTCTTGTCCTTTATCAATCCTGCAGAAAGCAAGAGGATATTATCACCGCTCTCTTTTGGAATTTATTTTTCTTTTAAAAAAGAATGGGATGGAGGGTAGAATATTCTCCTGGGGATGGAAGGGGGTGGGAGCTGGGGAGGAGAAGGAGACGGACAATAATCTGAAGTTACTTTCATGTCGAATAGGAAAGATGTAAAAGACAGTAAAGGAAAAAGAATCAGTGAATAAAAAATAAAGAAATAAATGAGCAGTTTGACCAACCAACTGCTGGCCAGTTGTCACAAACTATTGAGCATCCCATATTAATTTACAAAAGAGAACTTTAGTAGAAGAATAAAAAAACCAAAAGCCTGATAAATATGTTGCAGTAACTGTGCTCAATATCAGCTCGTTTAGTTTTTCTGTTCACTAGTAACTGAATCATGAAATGCCAGACAAAATGCAAACAGTAAATTGGCTTATGCATATTTTATGATGCTTTATACTGAAATTCATTTTGAGTGCTTTGTTCCTAAGGAAAATATGCAATTTACCCTTTAGTATCAAAATAAAGTGTCTAATCCAAGTAAGAATTTTTTCGGCCCAGGCTCGCTAACATCAATAGGCATTTTATCCCTAGTTTCAGCAGAAGAAAGTGAGGGTAATGACTCCTACTGATTCCTGTCAGGATTATTCAGAATATGGTGTAAAGTACAACAGCTTGTTGGCAGTTTCCAAACAAGCTTTATTAAAAGGGGAAGAAACAGTGCAGTACTGAAACTGTGTAACCTATGAGCTACTTACGGAATTACTATTTCTTCTTCTTTTCCACATTTAGCACAAACTTCTAGTTTACTAGCACATGGTCGACAAATAATATGGTAAGGATCTTTTACAGTCTTCTGGAGGCACTTCACACTATGAAGAGAAAGAAAACATGATGAAGAAAATATTTATGGGCACTTATTAAAAATTCTGTCTTCAAAGACAATGTAAACATACTCTTCAAAAAAGGATAACAGCATGTTATAGGCCAGTTTCATATGAAACAATTGGTGTTTTAACAAGCAGCACTATCAAAATCATTGCCTGTCTTCCCTCTCCTTTAACTTCTTCAGGAAGAATTATTAAAAGAACTGAAGGAGAAACATAAAATCAAGAATTTTTATATTTAGAAGTTGACAAAAGAAATCTTTTCATTCATTTGAGTAGGTAGTTTTACTTTAAAAGCTGCATAATTTCTTCTTCTGGTTTCATGATAAAATAAAAATATGGTATAAAAAGGTGCATGCATTCTACAAATAGAAAGCTTTCAACTCAAACACTACAATGTCTTCCTCTTGAACTCCTCAGAGTATAATCAAAGCTTTCTATGAACACAAGCCTGCATGGAACTGTATTCTGAACAAACCCAACCTTATTATGTAAAGGTTTTTGGGTATTCTTTTTCAAGATATGATAAAACTCTGTAGATTGTCATATTTAAAATGCTATAGCTTAACATAATTCAGCTGACACTTCTAAAGCCTTGTGTTTTTGGAGAAGAGAACCTGGAACTATGTAACCTATGTAATGCAGCTGTCCTAAAAGTTATTCTTTCTTGGTTCCTCAGGCACTCAGAAGTCTGTCAAGAAAGATTTAGCATACAGTTCTGAACAGCGGATTTGCAGACTTGGCTAAAATAGGCTAAAGAAAAATATCAAGTGTTTTTGCATGCCTTATAAAGAAAGATGCGCTAACTAGCATCTAGTGAAACAGAACTTTTCCTTGCTTTCTCAAATGCCATTCTTAAGCACTACCGCCTTCTCCCTACTACCTTCATCTAGGCTCTGCTGAGCTTTCATTATTAAGATATGCACATCTAATTTCTTAAGAAGCTGTAAAATCACAAGAATTGCCGCAGGACACATTTGACAAAAGCAAAGTCTGAACTGCCTAGTGTTTCTGGTCCCTCTCCTCCAGTTAAATCCCACACTTAGATGCCATATGGATGGAAATACCTACTTAGTTTTTTTTTTCTTTCTTCTATGTTCAGTTGCATTAGTATTAAAAAATGCCTACAGTTCTTCCCAGCCGTGTCACACCAAACAGGGCCACTATCAATGAAAGGTGAATAGACTTTTTTTTTTTACAGAGTTTAATTTGTAATAAATAAATACTTGAAATAAAAGTAAAGAATGGATAACTTGTAGTTGTACTAGCAATCATAATTTTGAAGGTGTTAAAAAACTAAAAATACGCTGAGGTACAGATAAGTCCTCCATTCCCATCGTCTGTGACATGAAGAATTCATTTTTTACCACGTAGTCACATCTCTAATGTCTATAGTGTGTTTACTACACCTAGAAGCTTCACTCATTGAGTACATTCATGATCTTGTCCTTTCAGAACAGTGGCCCACTCAGCCATTGTACTCCTGTAGGCTGGGCTAGAAACCACCACCTGTAGAGCTAGAATGGTCTGCAGGCCAATTTACTTACTCAAAACTGAAAACATCACATATTCTGTCATAAGCAGCTTTTTTTATTTCCAATGCTTCTCTGATTTACATGCTTTTTTGCCTGATTTTTTTCCTTTGGGGGTAGGCAGAGAAAAGGCAAAGGAACCAGATCCACCACTACATGATTTGTTACAGCTCATTACTTTTAAACAGGTTGCACATAGTCATTTGAGAAAAGAGTGAAAAAAAGACAAATTCCAACTTTATCCAGGGTAAATAGAACCCAGATGTTTAATTTGAGAACCAGTGAGACTTCTACCTAATCTTTTTTTTTATATGAAAGGGTAAAATTGTTTACTAAACCCAAAATATTTGTTTCATATGGTTTCATATTAAAAAGTAAAACTTTTCACAAGTGAGGGATATAGTATGAACAAACACTCCTTCTCTTTTAATCCACTAAAAATCAAAATAAAATATACTGTCATTCAGGGAACTGAATACATACATTTACAAAATCTCTTCAAGCAGTGCATAAGTATTTCAGAAGGATATAACTGAGAACAACACACAAACGCAGAGCAAACTATTGTAACAAAACGGGCTGTATCATACACCACAGCCCAGCTGTAGTTGCTTTTCAACATTTCATTGTTGAAACACTGTGTCTGCAGCCACAGAGGTAAGGACCTCTGCAGCTGAGCAAGTAAGAAGGAAGCAGAGCGTATCCACTTCAGAAAATTAACCTATCACAACCTAGAAATTATTTTAAGATATTTATCACCTTTGTTATGTACTTACCCAAAAACACCTAATCCAGAACTGTATGCAAACTATCATTTAGTATTTAGGATTACAGTTTCATACACAAAAAGAAAGAACATACTAAGAGGTAATGAAATGCATGTATTGCAAACAGTTTGTAAAAACTGAGGCCTCGGTAATGCTGCGAACAGTGTTGCTGATGAGTTTTGATATGATACAAAATTAAAGCCTTCCTCTCCCCATTTCTCTATTAGATAGTCCTGGTGTACTACAAAAGCTAAGAGATGTTCAGATTTCTCTAGTACTGACTTCCAAGGAGGCCTTGGAAAATTGTGTTGCAACTGATTCAGATTTGTTCAGGAGGACACAGTTCAAGCATTTCAACAGCGAAGAGGGAAGCAGTTGCTTTTCCACTGCATTTTCTTTGCAAAAGTTTAAGATAAAAGACTAATGAATTAGAAAATTAACACTGCATATATATTGTCATTGCAGACACCAAATTTGAAGAATTCATATAGTAGCAGCTACTACTTGTGAGTTTCCAAAACTAGAATATTTTCCAAAAAGTTTACAAACCACACTATCAGTGATTAACGCAAAGTGTCTTAACTCACCATTTTTTAGGTTTTGATAGTAGTTTGTACTTGCTGAATTTTACCCGCCACTCCAAGATACCTTTGCAATGCTGACACACTCCATCATGAAGCTTAGCATTTATTTTCTGAATAAAAAAAATTAAAATAAGAATACATTGAAGATTCCCTACTTTTACAAGTATAATCTTGCTTAGAAAGCATTTCTACACATCATGTTATTAATACAGTATTTAGAAATATGTTTGTTTAATATTAACATCAGCATTGCGTACATATTTACTGCTAGCAATTTTCTTCCATGGAAAGAGGGCTGAGGTAGTCTTTTACCTTGAGTCTTCATTACTATCATAATTTTAATATTGCTAATAATAGTACTTATTTTTGTTATAATAGATTGTTACAGATACTTTATTTTTATTTTAATCTCTAGAGATTTTACACAACAGATGTAAGTAGGAGCGAGCCCTGAAATATGCGGGTTTTATCCAAAGAAGATACAAATTCACAAGACTTAACATTTAACTTATTATTGCTCAAGCTACCATTATACTACATACTTTAAGTAAGTAGTCTCAGGATTTTTCTCAGATCACAGTAAAGTAGAATCCACACATTATTTGCAGTCAAATCTCTTTCATCATAATTTCCTTTATGAAAAAGCAGTACACTTTTGCTCTCAGTATCTAAGATAAAATTGTCAAAATGGTCATTTAAACTATGGTATATTTTGAAGACAATGCAAAGTTAAACCTTAAGATCTTCTACAACATTTTGTGTTTAGTTTGCTCAGGGATACAAAATGTTGACTGCCCAGTACTATTTGCACAAAAGAAGTCATTCTGAGATGGGAAATAATACCAAACCACACTGTTACCTTAATAACAAGCAACAGGTACCTGTACATTCAATCGACTTTTATTTCTTCTCTAAAAATGACAGCAGTAATTTTATCTTTCATACAGTTGTGTGCATTCATTCAGAACTTTAAAAATAGAAATTTCACAATTTAAAAAAATGCATATAGCAAAAAAAAAAAATCTATTGTGCCTTTTTAAAGACTGCTTAAAAATGGCTACTGTACCAAATTTACATTATTAACATGGTCTAAACCACATCTATTTCTCAGAATAGCTAAAAGTTCATTGGAACAGATTCTGTATTAACTGGGATTAGAGTTTATGTTATTCTTTTACAAATAAACTGAAAAGTTATTCTATGCATACAGCAGCTTCTGAAGTAATTTCCTATTTTTATGACCCACAAGTGCTTCTTACTAATCCACAAAGTTCTGCTTCAATCCACTAGACAAAAGAACAAGCCTAGTTTTAAAAATACAGTAAATTATTCTGAAAAATATATGTGGCAGAGGAAATGCTACTTACAAGTGAGACTATACTATGGGACTTGTTTTCCTTTGTTTCCATTTTTACTAAACGTATGCTATTCAGTATGAGTTTTCCCATGGTGCAGTTAATTGAAGGTGTGGTGGGTTTTGGTTCAGTTAAAAGACATTAAACTTCTTTTCAAATAAGCAAATACAGACTTGACATGTTTAAAAAAAAAAGAAAGAAAGAAACAAGGTTTTGCAGAATGTTTGAATATTGAATACAGAAAGCTGTGGTTAGGATGTCAGCCGTGCATTATGAATTAAACACTCTAAGAAACACAAGTATTTCGCCTATGTGGAAACTTTCTGAGAGAAGAAAATCATTGGTAAATTCTCAGCAGATATCTGTTGAAGGTCTGGCAATTCAAACTGCTGTCAGCATGGACTGTGTTCATTCTTTCAAAATTCATGCGATTTGAAGATAAGCCTTCTTTTCAGTGCTTGACTAGCACAAAGTAAGGCTCCAAATAGTATGGTCTGAAAAAGCTTCTAATAACCTGCAAATTAGTCTGAACTTCCCAGTTCTCCCTCTCTTCTCTCCTGATCTGCATTAATTAGTAATGCAGGAGGGGAGAAAGACACAAACACTGTAATTTGTATTCCCAGGTGTTCTTTATTGTGATCAACTATTTTTAGTATTGCTAAGGCAGAACCTAATAAACGACAAAAGACTGCAATAGTTTAAGCTGAAGATCACTAGTTGTCTTTCCAAAGGGAGTTAGCTTCCTTGATGAAAACTACCTCGTTTCCAGTAATACATCCTGACATAATGGCTAGGCACAGGAGCCCCAGCAATTCGTAATACACTTGGAATGCAACAGGCCACACTCAGGACTGTATGGGGCATAAACAGTGCAGAAGAACAAAATAGGAACTACTTTCACCTCTCATCTGAAGGAACTCCAAAGTTTGTTGAACAGGCAGCCTATTACATATTCTGCTAAACATTAGCTATGGAACAAGGAACTATGTACAATTATTATTAATAGAGCTTTATAAAGCTCTCCCCCCTCCCAATATGCTTATCATCTGGCTCCAGAATAAAAAACAATCATACAGTGATGAATTTCTTTTTTATTTTTTATCAGCCAAACTAAACCGCAGACCATCCCAAATTCCAAAGATGCCTTTTCATGTTACTCATAGTATAGATCTTTGCATGAAAATACCACCTCATAGCAAAGCCAAGAGACCAAGACTATATTATTGGGACTTCACCTTTGCTTTGAACAACAAAGGCCTCCATCTTATCTGATGACCTCATCGCAAAGATTAGCCCTCCCTCTATATTAACACATTGTTTCACCACTAAAAAAGGTCTTTACAAGATAAGTAACGCACAAGAAACTCTAAAGTAAAGTAAAGTTAATGTAATTCACTTGCACAGCAGCAATCACAGTATCCACATAAAGGCAACGAATCTCTATCAGAGCTGGTCTGTGTATTTAGATTACTTGTCCACAGTCACATTTGAACTGTTCGTTTTCTTGTTGTGATCGACACTTTCAAATATCCAGTGCAAAGATAAAGAACATGGACCAAAATGCTGTCTAAGAGTCTTTTGACAAATAATTTTGTAGCTATGAAGATCATATTTATGTGTAACTTAAGATCCTGATCCAGGCATAAAGATTCTTGGACTTTTCAACCTAGTCACCTGTAGGACCACAAATCTTACACAGCAACTCAAAGAAACCACGTGGTAACTGCTCAGAAGGTAGCAATTGCAAGAAAGACAACAGCTTTTAAGTTCTAACTTCCTCCTTCTAACAGGCACATGTACAGCACAGTCTCTTCCCCCGTTTCAGCAATTTCCTGTATTTTTTACTCAATGTTGGCACTTCAAGTATGGGGTGGTATAGTTAATCATTGGCTCAGCAAATCTGAATATAAGAGAGACTATGACCCTACAATCCTTCTACCAGGCTGTTGATTTAGAAAGTCAACAGACAATGATGGATTGATGTAAAAACAGCAAGCAGGGAGATTCACAGTTTAACCTTGACTTGTGTTTGCCTTCTAAGTTTATTTTGCTCAGAAAAAATGCTTGATATTTAAATGTTACTACTACGAAAACAAGTTGATAATTTACTGTGGTTTTTGACACTAATTTCAACATTTCCTTTGACAAAAAAAGTATCATATCACTTTCAAAAGCAACACAGACTTGAAGAAGCAAAGAAAGATGTCCCTAGTTAAAGATTTGGACAAGCTGTTTTTTGCAGATTTTTGAAATCACCAAAGAACACATGAGAGTAAGTTCTCCTAACAGACTGGAAGAGAAAAACTTTCCTGCTATCTCAGTTCCCAGTCAGAATGGGGAAGTTATTACTTAAAGCAAAGAAATTCCTCTGCTGCTTACTTTTCCTGTTAATATTCACTTTTAAAATATATTTTGTACATTGTTTAAACTTTCATATATTCATATTTTCTTCCTTTTGCCCATTTAATAGCTTGTTTTCCTTTAAGGGTACAAGAAACCCAAGAAACCACACTAAGACCTAAACAAGGTTTGTCAACTTCATTATTCCTTTCTAACTTTTCTACCCAGCTTTTACGCAGGTAGTTAGCTCTCATTCACAAAGGGGTGGTAGTGCTTATGGTCTAAAATGGATTTTTTGGTGTGAGAACTACTCTGATAGGTTAGATTCTGCTTCTGTCACAGCAGTTTCTTTATTTATTTGCTTTTACGCTCATTTCCCTGCTTTAGTCAATAGGTCTTTCCTCTTCTCTTTTGCCATACTTCCCTCCAAGGACAAGTGCAACTCATCCAGTGCTTACAGTATGTCTACATATTCTCCAAAGAAATTACAGTTATGCAATACAGACATACATAAACAGTCTTAAAGTACACAGTCACAACATATTCCATGTGCATATTGTATACACACTGTCAGGTCAACTGCATTAACAAAACAGCATCCTCTGTATGTTCATGTAACCCAATATTAAATCATTTAACAACCCGCCAAAAGCAGTTCAGAATGTATTAAAGTAAACACATGCTCCTACACCTACTAACTTGGTACACAAAATAACCTCTAGCTTATGCTAGCATTAAAGCACTCACAAGCAAGATGTAATGACTGGGTTTCAAAGAAGCCTCACTGTATCTATAGAAGTTTCTAATTATGGGTGAACCTATGGGTATTTTAATTTACTCTACTGAAAGCAGACTCCTACTATTGAGCACACATCAGTGGTCTATTCTGGTGTAAATGAATGCAATGTCAATGCCATCCATAAGCTTCCTTGTCAGAAGCACAAGTGATACTGCTTCAACCAACAAGGCTGAATGCAGCATTTCTGAATAACTACACTTCTCCACAAAGCAAAACTCCACAGGATCTCTAGTGCACGACTTCAAAGCGGTTAGAGTAGATCAGTGCAGACTAACAAACATGAAACTGTGATACGAGACATCAGCTCTTCAGGGTTCTAATACGTATTTCACAGGCTGAAATCAAGTCCCTCAAAGAGCTTCACTTGGTCATGTATTTTATCAGTATTACTTTAAATTCTGTTTTCTACACAAGAGATTTTCTCATCTCTTTCTAAAAAGAGGTATACTTAACATTTTAACCAAAGCCTTGAGGTCTTCCTTACATCCATACTGGCTACGTATGGATGGCTAAATAGCTTGCATTTAAGACCCTTTATTGATCTGGACTTTAAAACACATGAAATCAAAAGCTTTCACTAAGCCAAATTCCAAATGGCCATCTTGGAGATCAAGATGTTTACCTTTTTTCAGATCAGTGACCATGGATCTGAAAACATGCAAGTAACGAGCAAGACACTGTACACACTTGGAAGAACCAACAGTCAACTCCCATCTTCTTCCCCACAAAGAACTGAACACACACATGGCTTGCGTGCTCCCTCCCTCTCTCTCTCCCCAACCCCATTCCCTCCAAGTTAGGTTAGAGTCCAGAACAGGCATTATGCTTGCTCCTCTTCTCCCTACATGAAAGGCTATAACCCAGGCCTGAATGCACTTCCAAACCCAGAATAACAGGGGTGGCTAGAGAGTAGACTTTAGCCTACCAAGCTACTCTGTGTTGCAGCAAGAACAGAAACAAAACAAACTCCAGTACTGTTATCTGACAATTCCAGCTGGCTACTGGTTTATCTGTATCTCCCCTCTAAGCTTCAAGTCACAATCACTGACTCAGCATTTAAGCTCTCTATCCACCTGTTCTGTTCCTACTGCCTTCCCACAGTCTTGACCAGTGTCTCCATCGAAACAGGTTACTTATCCATAGAGCCAGCTGAAGAAGTAGCTGATGTCAACACTATGGTAAAGCTGGGGTTCAGTGTTAATAACCTCTGAAATGTAGGGA